CCCATTAAATTAAGCCTATAGAGAACATACTCTAATTATACCTATAGAAACATAATCATTTTTTCTGAAACCAATATTTGACCAAAGGTTTTTGTCTTCTTTAGAAACTTACAAGAAAGTGTAATAGAAAAATTATAGTTACATATAAATTTCCTTCTGGAAGTTACTGTTTCCTGGTATTTGAATTTGAGTGGAATTTCAACTATTTTCTTGTATTGTTCATACCCAGATGAATAAATGTTTCTTCTGTGATTGTATATATGTTTCAGAAGTACTGTTTACATGATTGAGAACTGTTGTTTATATGTTTCAAAAGTACTGTTTACATGTTTCAGATTTACTGTTTACATGATTGAGAACTGTTGTTTATATGTTTCAAAAGTACTGTTTACATGTTTCAGATTTACTGTTTACATGATTGAGAACTGTTGTTTATATGTTTCGGAAGTACTATTTACATGTTTCAGAACTGTTGTTGATATGCTTCAGCACTGTTGTTTACATATTTCACAACTGTTGTTTATATGTTTCAGAGGTACTATTTACATGTTTCAGAACTGTTGTTTATATGCTTCAGCACTGTTGTTTACATATTTCACGACTGTTGTTTATATGTTTCAGAAGTACTGTTTACATGTTTCAGCTCTATTGTTGACATGTTTGAGGACTAGTATTTATGTGTTTCAGCACTACTGTTTATATGTTTCAGAACTGTTATTTTCATATTTTAGAACTATGGCTTAGATGTTTTAGATGTATTGTTTTTATGTTTTAGAACTATTGTTCACATGTTTGAGAACTTGTTTACATATCACAGAATGTTTGGTTATATGTTTCAGAACTGTTTTTACATGTTTTAGAGCTATTGTTTATATGTTTCAGAACTTGGAACACAAGATTACACATGAGCGTATAGAGATGGATCACCTGAAAACTAAAACATTAGAACTCATCGACAGTGGTCAGCACAGTCACTACACAACTCAGGCTATGGACTTGGTCCATCAGTTTGGAGCTCTTGCTGAAAACATCAAGGTAAACAGAAATATGACAACCACAGTAGAATTTGACATCAAGTATTAAGATTTAGAAATAATTAGGTAATCAAGAAAATAATGTCGCTTTTCATAGATTAAAAAACCTGAACAACTTGTATATCAAAACAAAACATTTATTCAATGAAATAGTCTTCATTCTTATTGATGATGCTTTTCCGTCTTACAGTCAGGTTGTTAATGCCCCAATTAAAGAAAATCACTTGGCTTTGAAGCAAAAAACATGTTAATGTCCTCTTTAACACCTTCCACATTTGCATATACATTTTCCCATTAAGATGGTGTTGCAGCAAACAAAAAAGATGGTAATCTGATGGTGCCATATTTGGAGAATATGGTGGTATTCCCATAATCCATATTCCCAATCCAACTCCATAATTTTGTGTTGCATCAAACGTGACACATTTGGATGTTCATTGTTGTGGAGATAAAGAAAACCTTTCCGATTGATGGGTGAAGGGCATTTCTGATGGAGGGCTTGATTTAAACGTTCCAGTTGCTGACTATAGATCTCTGCATTGACAATTCGCTGTGGTTTTTATCTAGAACTGAGCCATTGTTTTTGGTGTTTAATATTCACATAGAGAATCCATTTTTCATCCCTGGTGACAGTTCTGTCTAAAAATGGTTCACGAGCATTATGCGCCAAAAGAGACGAAAGCAACGTTCACACGTTGGAAACAGTGATCATCAGAGAGCTCGTTAGGCACTCAAACATCTTCTTTATGGAGTTTTCTTATATTCCTAAGATGTTTACATATTGTTTCATAAGAGGCATGCAATTTCAGGGCCATTTTATGAGTGTGTTGCCTTGGGTTAGACTCAACAAGTGTCTTCAGAGCATCAATATCAATTCCAACATGTCGGCCCCTGCCATCACAGTTTTTAAGGCTAAAGTCACCTGCACGAAATTTGCTGAACCATCGTTGACACTTACGAACGTTAAAAACATGTCCATAAGCTTCTTTGATGTTCTTTGTGGCTACAAAAGCATTGTTTCCCTTCTTGTATTCAAACAACATTACATACCGAATGTGTGTGTCTCGTCGCGTGCCATCACTATAAGGGATTTCAGTATATTAAACTTTACACATTATGTAGACTACACTAACGTGTTGTTTAGACGGTTCATGTAACTATTATACGTGATGCACGTTTTTTTTGGGGGGAGGGGTAATGAAAGTGTTCCAAAACGCGACATTAATTTCTTGACGACCTAATACAAATTGCGTTTCTCACAAAAATGCAAAGCTTTTGATTTATATCCTAAATTTCTGCATTTTAAAGTTTCCAACGTCAACCTAAGGTTCAGTAATTAATATTAAGTTGCCCAGAAAAAATTACCAAACAAAGAGTTACTGGAAAAGCACAAGTTAAAAACAAATTATTTGAGTCATTTGTTTCCAGCCTCTCAGTGTTAAAAAAAGTTTTAGTTAGGACTAGAAAAATTTAATACAGTGTAAACTAATCCAATTAAAGAAATTACACAAGCTAAAATGAGACAAGTTCCCATAACCATGTTTGCTGAGAATCATCTGGAGTCATATATAACCTCTCTAATCACTTTTAACCGACCCTGAGAAAAGGGTTTTGTCACGTGGTTGAAACTTCGCTAATACTCCTGATAAAAGCCCCCAAGTGGCACAGCGATATGTCTGCGGACTTACAACGCTAGAAGCCGGGTTTCAATACCCGTGGTGGGCAGAGCACATTGTCTAGCTTTGTGCTTAATTACAAACAAATAAACACTCCTGATAAAATCAAATATACCGATTTCTTTGTAAACCTTGAAAAATTACTGATTAATATAAAACTTTACCTACTTTTGAAAACTTTGTCACAGAAATACCAGGAATAGCTTTATCAATTTTAAAAAAATATAATAGTAATCTGTCAAACAATGAAACGGCAGCTTTGAATGCTTTAAAAAGTTTAGATAATTTAGTGCAGTTAAATCTGGACAAAAGAAATAGAGTTGTTATTCTCAATAAACCGGATTATCTTGATAAAGTCTATGCCATCTTAAATGACTTCAATAAGTTTAAAGCGTCGAATAAAAATCCCACCCAAAGCAAATAAACTTCAAAGACTACTATTAAAACTATACAAAGAAAGTGTCATTTCTGATCCAGAATACAACCAGATTAGACCTATTGGATACATGGTGTTCTTTATGGTCTGTCGAAACTACACAAAGCAACTGTATCAATCAGGGCTATTGTTTCTAACATAGGAATGCTCGGTTATAAATTAGCTATTTTCTTCAGTAAGTTACTACTTCCATTTATAAAGAATGACTTTACCATCAAAGGTTCCTTTGATTTCTCTAATTTCGTCAAATCAATGAAATTTGATCATTCTGTATGCATCACCAGTTTAATATTGGGTCCTTAAACATTAACATTCCCCTTGGTAAATTGATCAAATGAAGTAGTGATTTGTTATTTCCTGATGACTCTAATGATTTAACTAAAAATCAGTTTATAAAACTACTCAAAATTGTGGTCAAAGCATCACATTTTGTGTTTAATGATAAGACATATGACCGAGTTGATGGTGTGGCCATGGGCTCACCACTTGCTCCCATATTAGCTAATTTTATTTTTGTCTTATCACGAAATTAACTTGTTTCTGTCCTGTCGGTCTGAATTTAAGTCTTTAGTTTATTAGAGATACGATGATGACACTTTTATTGTACTCGGAGAACAGAGAGATGTGAAAAAGTTTCAAGATTATTAAAAAAAATCGCTGGTAGTGTATCAATACACGTATCCATGCTGTTGGCACGGCTACATTGGGTCAACGACACGAACCCTAGCTACCAAGCATGCGCAAACAACTCTGGAATTTGCAACCATCTAAGCAAAGACTGTAGCGAGAAGCCTAGCATCGAAAATTCCAAAATTGACTCAGTGACAAACGACTGGACATTAAGAAAAAGGGAAGAGCTCCTATTTCGAAATTTAAAACCAAAGCTGAACAACCAGTTAACAACAACACTGCATCTCAAACTGTAATAAAGTTATTATACCTGAAATGGGTAAAGAGTGGAAACTTCGTCTGACAATCAAATGCCAATATCTATCTCAAATACTTTTAAATTACTTTTAACACTTATAACACTACAAGCAGCAAAATTCAAAATAAAATATACATAGGACAAACTGTTTGACCAATAAACTAGTGGAAACATTGAACAAAAACTCTACAGATCGATATGAAAAATATAAATTTTCGAAAGTATGAGAGCGAAATCTCTTCAAAAAATGTGAAACTAGAACAGGTGACTGTAGTGATTTGTTTGATGCTAAGCACAAAGCTACACAATGGGCTATTTATGCTCTGCCCATCGCGGGTATCGAAACCCGGTTGCTACCATTGTAAGTCTGCAGACATACCGCCGTGCCACTGGAAGCTGACTTTAGTGACCGTGGTTATTACGTTCTTTGTTTTCAGGGCTACAGGGTGAATTTGTTTATAATGCTGAAAAACACATTTTATTATTTACACATAAAACCTTATTATATGAGTACAAAAGTCTAAATATTTCATAATTTCCAGTGAATTATTTTTATTTTATCAGATCAGTGCATTCTAATAAATTGTTTCGATGCAATCAGAGAAATCAGTAAGTTTATTTTATTTCCACTACTCAGCAGAAAAAGTATTTATTTCGACTTCCTTTTAGTTTTTGGCGAGAAGTATTTGATTAATATTTGTTTATTGCTGTGTCGTCATCTGTTTCATGGTGAAATAACTCAATTCTTGGTTAAATTATGTACAGTTTTATCTCTACTGGCTATTATATATATATATATGGAATTTACTTGTCTCCATTAAAGTGGAATTTGATTAGTTGTCTCACAGTCTTGCTACCAGTCACATGACGTTGGTAACTGGAAGAAACCGGAGTTATAACGGTTTGGACTTCGACCTAGAAATTTGACCTGTCAGTTTTGTACGTACTCAGATATTATGTGATCAACCCTTAGAAAAGCTCGAACGCTTTCAGTCGTGAGAAAGAATCGGGTAAGTAATAATGTATCTTGGATACTTTTATTTTCTTAAAATGCATAGGCTATAGGTTGATTGTGCCCAAAGAAGTAATAAAAGGAAACAAAAGAAAAAATAAGAAGGAATAACAAATTACTAGTCCTCATGAATAATTCATTAAATGATTAATCGTAATTTGATGAAGTTTCCTTCAGCAAATTATTTAACTTTAAATAGAAACCAAAAGTCTCCGTCGATTGTCAAACGCATATGTTTTATTAAAATGAAGCTATTTTTAAAGTGAAAGTAGTAAAAACAACGAAGTGACAAATGAAAAGCAGTATTGTAGTTTTTTTTAGTGAACTAAGAGAAGGTTGAAGTTTTATGGGAAGTTAATTGAATGTTCCACTTTAGTTTTAAACTATATTAGTTCAGTACACCACGTTCGTTGTAATGACATTCCAAGCTGTGCTTAAATCTCTTTATAAACTTTTCAAACACTTTAAGCCTTTTCCAAGCTAGATTTCCTTATTTTCTAGTCTGTTTATCATTTTCAATAATATTCCACAGATAACCTTTTTAGGTGGTTATATTATACTGTCATTTTTTTAATTACACTTTCATCATCTTTTCTTTCCCTCCCTCAGAATTGTCATATTTCGTTTTACTTGCTGGTCCAGTACAAACCGGACTTGGATAACATTGTTTTCTAAATTATGTTACTAACGGGAATTCTGTCTTGGCAATTAGAAAAACATCATGTAATATAAGTGTTTATACTGTTCTTACTGACGCAAGAAAAAAATAAACGTTGTACAAAAATAAATTACAAAGGAATGAAAATCAACTTGTTTGTATAACTGTTTAAGTTTTTATCAGGTAATGACTTAAACAAAATACAAATGGAAGTTTATTGGCATAACTCGGCAAATAATTGATATTATTTATACACTGCTTATTTGAAAATTGCTTTTAATGTTTTCATTGATCTAAATGTTAGAACCTATACTTTTCGCGATGTCACAACTAAAATTATAATATACCGAAGATGAGACTGCTATGATATTGTTCCAGACTTCAAACTATATGTCACGTTATTGTTGCAAATTTCAGGCAGAAATTTACTGTTCCAGATATGACTTTCATTTGATTGCTGCAAATATGAGACTCTGCGTCTACCATGTTATTGTTTCCGATATGTAACTGTTACTTTATTTTTTCCTCTATGAAACTGGGATAATATTTTTCTAAGAAATATTATGTTTTTCAAGTATAATGCTAATATTTTTTTCTAAATATAAGACTGTAAATTTATATTTTTCTGTTCCAGATTGGAGATTGGCATTTTTCTATTTCAAATTTGCAAGCACAACGAAGTTTATTTTTTTACAAAATGATAAGACCCCTATAACCCGAGCGCTTTCGAAAAGTGGACCTTTCTCCTTCAAGGGCACCTTTCGAAAGCGCTCGGTTTATAGGGTTTTTATCAATTTGTATCAAGACTTGTTGAACCTAAATGTTTTTCTGACATAATGAATAATTTTTTTAGTCACGTCTGGACTAGTAACTGTCCGATATTTTTTGTGCGTCTGAAAAAACAATGTATTACACGCATAAATCATAAATTAAAAGAGAAAAATTAAGATGTTGTTTTACCCGAAATATTGGAAAAAATTCATTTCGTTAAATGAGAATCTATACTATTATTCTGCTTGTTTTTATGTACGACCGTTACGCTTTCTGACTGAGAACCTGCTGCATAAGCATGCGTAGTTAGAATGTTTCTCCAAGAAAAACTGCGAATGCGCATTATTCACTCGACGACAAACAGTCTTCCTGCAGCAGAGAGCTGCAAAGCTCGGTGATGAAGCCGCTACAATTGCTGTATGAAACAAGAAGTAAAAACAAAAGGGGGAATGTAAATATACTTTACTAACCATTTTGGACAACAGAATATTAAAAATTTATCAACGTTTTTTAAAAAAATTTGACGTTAGGTCGTAGAATAACACTAAGTTTATTTATCGATACAGTATTAATTTATCTCTTTATCGAACTTAGGCCTAACATAAGTTAACGTTTTATAAAGTATGGCGTATATACAAGTGGATTTACACATTTGGTATTGTGCTAGAAATGTTATATTTAAAGAAGTACTGTTACGATAAAGATACAAATTTGGCCGGAAATGTTTTGCGGGTCTCTGCTAGTTTAATTAGAAAGCCCAAACATTCAAAGATATAAATAACGCGTGTAAAAGGTCGAACCAAAAATGTATATATTCGAAAATCGCCTAAAACGCAGATATTCCACTGTGAAGCTTTGCTTTTAAAAACAATCTTTTTTTTTTCATTTCTTTTCTTTCACATGGTTGTAATGGAATTGTGGATTTGAGAGACATTTTAATCTTTACCTAGAAAATGTTGGAATCTGAAAAGAACCAGGAATTCGGTAATAGACCTAACTCGGAAGTTCGCGAGATCACGGATATAGTCGGCTCACACGGACCCTGGCAGACAAAAGTGTTCATTTTAGCGTTTTTACTTAGTTTTCCTAATGTCTGGCATGCATTGGTGGTCACATTTCTTGCTCCAAATATGGATCACTGGTGTTCTAGAACCTCAGAATACAAAAATCTAACCGTTAGCCAGTGGAAAAACTTGACCATTCCTCTGAACGACAATAATGGCGTGAAAACATACAGCACGTGCAAGATGTACAACATCACAGGAATAACCCTTTCGGAAGGCATCAACCGGACCATCATCCCTTGCGACAATTGGGAGTATGATAAGTCTGACTACGCTTCTACTATTATTGACGAGGTCAGTATAAGTTTACGGCAGAATTTAAGTTACACAAGTTCTTGTTGAATTTTTTTTATAACTCGCCTTATGTAGATACACTAATCTACTGTGGTTAAAGGCTTTTACTTTTTTTATCTTGGGTATACCACTACATTGCAGGGGGTTGAGAGTTGGTCAACATATTTTATCACTAGATATTTTACAAAACTTCAATCAAAATAAAATATAATTTTTTTTCATATAAATGTACGATTTAGTTACTAAGAGAATTACATACATGTTTATCTCAAATACAAATTGCTCACTGTGTGAAAAACAACCACAACTGATTGTGGTTCTTTCAAAACGATCAGTTTTGGCTGCGTACTGAAAGCACTAAAAATAACGATTTCGGTTTGTCCCTGCCTCATTTATTGATATTCTAATGAAGTTTTCAAGGTTACCATAATCCATACTGACAGTAACGAAGGTAGAAAACGTATTACTAAATGAGGAAAAAAACCGACATACCAAGCTATATATTATTGAAACATTACTCAAACAATTCTACCTTGTAATTCTGAACAGCACTTGTGGCTTTGTTCAGTGCTATCTTGATATTGTTGTAAGTTGGCAGATCAGGATTTCGATGTTTGTTTTTTATGAAGGTTTTTATTTGTTGTGGGTCTTATTTGCTTCGGATATTCGTGCAAAGCTAAACAAAGGCTATTTACGCTAGCTGTAAACTGATAGATTAGGGAGAAGGCAGATAGTCTGTTCTTGAACTACTCTAAGCGAATATTGTGATTTGATCGTAATTCTTATTATGCATCCACTCGCAGTCCCAAAGTGCAGAGCTGGATTTAGTGACAAGGGGATGCAAAACATAGTCCCTCGAGTTCACAGTCCTACACGCTAACTATCGGGCCAAGACCGACCCACAATGTATGGTAATCTGGCAATCGATTGAAACAAAACAGCCGCAAAACAAAATTTTATTGCATTCTATAATATTTCAGTTTGTAGCCTCTGAGTACACAGCTAAAACGCATATATACCAGTTTGGAAGAATCGCGTTATGTCCCCCCCCCCAAAAAAAATATATAATTTATTTTTCAGTGAATACTTTCGTTAGCGTGTTCGACCGTTAAATCTGAGGGTCCATGGTTCGTGTTCTATTCTTGCAAGATTGCGCCCCACACTTTGGAATCATGTGCGTGAATAAGAATGATAGTCATACCCCACCTTTCGATTAGAATAGCTCAAGAGTTGGAGATGAGTGTAGTTGATTAGCTGTCTTACCCCTTATTTATCAGTTCATACTTAGGGACGGCTAGCGCAGACAGCCCATTTATTTTTGCATGAATATCTAAAATAAAAAGAAAGAGAAAAAACATGTTTCATTGAGAAACGTAGATCACGTTAGGTACAAAATTACAAATGTCTGTTTATGTCGTGACAGTTATTGATACAATGTGATTTGTGTAACAACTTTCTTACTTTTCAGTGGGACTTGGTGTGTGAAAATGATTGGCTTGTTTCCATGAGCTTGTCCGTCTACATGAGTGGCTACTTGGTAGCTGTTTTGGTGTTTGGACAGCTGGCAGACAGGTTACTATTATTATATAAATCCAAAATGTAGTTATTGAAAAACTTTAGCTGATATATCATTGTGACTTTAACAAACAACAAATGTATTTAGATGTTTTGTTGTAAATTGAGCAGTAACTTGATTTTATTAACATGTTTACTACTTTACTACTAGATATACTCCTGCAGGGTCCCCGAAAGTGTTCTTTTTCAAGAGTAAATAAAACCAAAATTAAGAGTAACAAATATTTTATTTCTTGCTTTTGAAATTCATATGTCATGTAGCCTACAGAGGGCGTAATTCTTCTCGTTATTCATGGCATGAGCACGTTTTACTGACGTCACGACAGTACAAATTCCAACGTTAAGCATCCCTTATGTGACGTCATTTTAGTATCTACACTGACTGACAGACAACACATTACTGTATAGCGGGTGCGAGTGGTTAAAACGGGTGTCCCCTCCAGGCGGTCCCCGGCCCCCTTTCAGGGAAAAATAACTGAAATTATAGCATTATGGTTGTTTCGAGGCTTGTTAGCTTTAGTCTCAGAATTTTAGTGGAAAATAATTTTTAAATATTATCATTTTATAGAATTGGACGTCGGCCAGTTATTCTGATCTGCATTTCAATTACAAATATTTTTGGTGTTCTCTGTGCCATTGCCCCGAATTTTCTGATGTTTGCGGCGTTTCGCTTCTTTGTGGCTCTAGGTGTAGCAGGAGGCCTAACAACAGCTTTTGTTCTTTGTAAGTATTTAAGAAATTTAAATGTCAATCCTTAATCCTAGAATAAATATTTTTCAAATCTTTTCATAGTTCCTATGTGAATTGCGCTTTTACAGAGTTTTTATTCATGAGATATAGATGTATAGGATTTTGGAAAAGTTATACAAGTTCACAGTTGAAATACAGTCTTGTATATGAAGCCATTCACGGTGAGATAAACTTTCTCTTTAAGATGTTAAGGATATTTTTATTACCATGTATCTTAATTCAGAAAGATAAATTCTTTACACACAGCCAGAATGATCATATTTAGTTTATCATACAGTGCATTAATATATTGCAGTGATAGAGGTTGTGGGTCCAGAACAACGAACATATCTAGGTATTGGAATACAACTTGGATGGGCAACAGGTTATTTAATTTTAAGTGGGCTGGCCTGGTTTATCCGAAACTGGCGCTTCTTGCAGCTCGCCATCACCCTTCCGTGTTTACTGATGGTTTCTTATTGGTGGTAAGTGCGATCGCTGTTTGAAGTAGTTTCTTTTTTATTACACTATTTCGAATAAAGTCTGGAATTTTCCAAATGATTTCTGATAATATGTAGTTTATGTAACGTGTTAGTGGAAGTACTAGATATCTTGCCAAATTATTTCTGATAATATGTAGTTTATGTAACGTGTTAGTGGAAGTACTAGATATCTTACCAAATGATTTCTAATAATATGTAGTTTATGTAACGTGTTAGTGGAAGTACTAGATATCTTACCAAATTATTTCTGATAATATGTAGTTTATGTAACGTGTTAGTAGAAGTACTAGATATCTTACCAAATGATTTCTGATAATATGTAGTTTATGTAACGTGTTAGTGGAAGTACAATATATCTTACCAAATGATTTCTGATAATATGTAGTTTATGTAACGTGTTAGTGGAAGTACTAGATATCTTACCAAATGATTTCTAAGGTTAATTTGTGTACCTTATTAGTAGAAGTGTGAATAAACTTTTGAGATTTTTAATAACGTGTGTCAATTATGCATCTTCTTGCTGGAAATGCAAGGAAACTTCTTCCGTAATTTATATGTCGTTTATGTAGTCTGTTAGTAAAAGTACAACGAAACTTTCCAGGTAATATCTGATAATGTGTAGTTTGTGTAAAGTGGGCATGGAGTGCTGTTGATATTTCCTGACTTTAGTTTTGAAGTATGGATTATGTAGGTTGTGAGTGGATGAACTACAAAACTTTCTAGATTATTTATAATCATGTGTGGTTTATGAATCTTGCTATTTAATGTATTAGCAGAGTTTCCTCGTTACTTCTAATAACTTGTGGATTCTATGGCTTGTTAGTGGATGCATTTGCACATGTTCGAGACGCTTTCTTATAACGCGTGGAGACGGCTTTAAATGGGTAATAAAAAAAAAAAAACTATTACAAACTAGCATAAAATATCCGCTGCGGGATTCTAAGGCCCGCTCATGATTCACAGAGGCCTCAGTGTACCAGTCGAACATCTCCATTATCTTAATTACTTTTATAGTTACCCCTGTGCACCAATTCTATAATTTATTTGTCTGTTGCCACTTCTCGAACTTAATTCCATTAAACTATTTTTAAAAGCAAATAGTTTTAATTTAGCTTCTCAGATTTGATTTTTTCTTCCTGTGTTTTTATTTGAATTCTTTTCATTCTCCGAACTATCCAATATTCTCTGATCCATATTTATTCCCATGTTTGTGTTGAAAAAGGCATTTGGCAGAAAACCTCCATATATTGTTCATTCAGAAAGTGAGAATTATAAAAAAAAAAGATACTTTTCTATAGACCTTCAGGAAGCAGAATAATGGGGCTTAAAGGCTATAGGGCAAAACCACAGGGTAAAAATTTGGCCCAAATTCTTATGAGTCAAATCTTAAAAATAACCCCCCAGATACACACCCTCAGAATCCTCTTAGTATGCGTACAAAGTTTCAGGTCTGTAGGTTATATCCTCTTGGAGCTCTCTCTCTCTCTCACGCACAAACACACATACACAAAGGATTTTTTATTATAGATGTACAAGTTTCGATAAGCTTATATCGTAATGCTTGTTAGTGCAAGTACTTGAAGATGTTCGAGGTGATGTTTAATGCGGCGTGGTATATATATATATATATATATATATATATAACGTGCGGTAGTTTAAC